TCCCTCTTGTTAAATCTTAACTATTTTAGTACTTCCCAGATATATACTTTACAGCCAAGCTAACAAATCAATAGTAGTATCTAGCACACATGATCAGTTTTTGGTATTTACGAAATTGTTTTTATTGTGGTAGTGCTTAGAGGGCCCCATGACGGATCAGAGTCCCATTGTGCCACATGCTGTACAGGCAGATGCTCCATGCAGCTTGTTGTCTAAGTAGGCTGATAAAAGGTTAAACAAAATTCCCTCTTTGGAACTTCTCTGGAAGAGAGAGAAGCCACATACTCAATCCATTGTAAAGACTTAAGGAATTTACTGTAGCCATAGGGACAGCTGTCCTTGAAGGATGGTGGGATATTGTATCCTTTGGTAATCCTGGTGCTTAGTAAGTAAGGAGCTTTTTTCACAGAGGCCCAGCAAGTGGCAGGAGTCCTACTCCTCTATATGGGATTTTTGGGCCCTAGAACGCACCACACACCCATTGTTTATCATGCTGTATTTTTATCTCAGTTAAATGATTATGGCTGAGGTAGATACCTTTGAATGGAGAGGAAGTTAAAAATGAAAATCCCAGCAGTCATCTTCACTATATTGCCACAATGGGCCTTGAAATATTTTGTGGATTTGGCCATTTATGTTTATGACTCCAAATAATAACTGTAAACCAGGATTTTTAAAAGTGAGTGCATAATGTCCAGCTTCTAAGTCCATATTCAGGCACCTGAATATAAGTGGCCTGGGCACCCAGTATCTCCAACTGAGGCTATTCTGTGCTCAGCACTTTTGAAATTCACTCCCCTTTTTTAGGTGTATGAATATGAGTTTAGGAGCCTAACTTGAGACACCCAATGTTAGAAATCTTGGCCCTACTGTAAGTTGTTATAAAATAATATTTGCAACTGCAATATTTCCATTTGCAATTTTAAGTGTCAGTGTTTTATCCTGTCTACTTGAAAAAATGTGCATAAATTCACAATATATTTCCTTAGTAATGCAGAAAGCAAAATAGTGACCCAAGGTAAAAATTTTCAGAAGCGCTCGAATGACTAGACGCTTAAGTCCCATTGAAAATGCTTTTGAACATTTTATCCCTGAGCACTAAAGTAGTATGTGTCCAAGAGGCAGTAATATATTTTTCTGTAAAATACAGTAGATTTGCATCCTTCCCTAATACATTTAAGAAATATCTGACTATCAACTGATGTAATACTGCCCCCTTTTATTTGAACTGAAAAACATGCTGGACTTCATATACTTAGCATTGCAGCTTGAGGAATTTTATTTTATTTATACAATTGATTGAGATATTCATTGTTGCATGACAGGATCAGATTAATCATGAGATCAGTATTACTCTACAACAATAAGTGAAAGGAGTGTTGTGATCAAATTGTTCAGCAGGGTGGGTGCATGTTTTAGATTTAGCTTCCCAGGCAGCATATTATACCACGCAGGTGTCTTGTCATTCTTCTGAGGTGCACTGGGTATTGGTGAACTGGGATGGTTGCTGTTATATGCATTTGATTATCATGTTCACTTGCAGTGGTTTTTTAAATCAGGCTATTCCTAGGATAACAATAGGCCACAGTGTTGTTTTTGTTGTTGTTTTTTTTAAGGCCTATTCAGGAATTAGATTTGTCTTTGAATAGCTAAATGATTACAATGTTACTCACACACGCAGAAGTGCTGTGGTGAATTTATCTGATGCAATTAGAACTTTTTCATGCAGAAATTAGAAATGGAGCATCTTGCAGAAAGGTGATCTCAGAGTCGGTAACAGTCTCTTTTAAAGAGACACATTTCCATCACGGAAAACAAGTCTGACTTTCAGCAAAAATGTGCTTGAATCTACACCAATGTATCGAATGTTATAGGAATTTACATTATAAGAAACACAGTCAGGATATGCATCTGTGTTTAGGGAAAGATTTTACTTCACCTCTGTGTGTGTGTATCCAGTGTGGGAGGTAGTGCAAGGTGTGGACACATCCACAAGGACATTCAGAGTTCTGGCACTCAAGGTTTGTAAGGGTTGTGTAAGGCCATTCCTGCTGCTGGCATTAACCTCTCCAAAGGAGGAGGAGTGTTGTGGGAGCACAGCTTCATCCTCTTTGCTTTGGCCAGCAGCTCCACAGTAGATGGGTGCAGAGGGCGGTAGGTACTGAACTCTTATCAAGGGTGGCTCCAAAAAAGCATATCAAAATCAGGAAAGGCAATGCTAAAGCTGCATGTGAAACCTTAAGTTTGCCCCTAAGTGCATGTCATTGTGACACAGTCTTTCATTGTTCGTATGCTCAAATAATACAATATATACCTAACATACATTTCCGCCCCTAAACCTCAGATACACTTGCATAGCTTCATGTATGCTATTTTGAATATGCCATACAGGGTGCATGAAAATCATTTATACGAAACACAGTAAAATAGACTTACACCGTTTGAGTATTACAACATGAAAAAATAGTGAAAAATTACATGACACATATATAGATCACCAAAATTTGCAGCTGTTAACTTTGTATTTAAGTACCACGTACTCTGAATTGCACCTATGGAAGTATTTGTTGTGCATCCCTTAGCATCTAAGTTAGTCTTGTGGTTAATTGCCTCATTCCCTGAATTGGTCTTTAGAAAGTTGGTGGTGTGCATTTGTGCTCTGATCAGTTAGATTTGTAGTTCACTGCCTAATCCCCAAAATTACACCTAAGGAAGATTGGTTTAAAAGAAAATATATAGTACTTGGCTGTTGGCTAAATTATTAAATATATTCCTTAGAGGGAAGAGAATGTAACTTATGGAAAGTCTAGGTCAGCAAAGATATGTCAAACCATTATAACAATGAAAATAGTATGTATGTAAGACAAGAATGCACAGTGCACAGAGCCTGCATGATATAATACTGTATTATGTAAGAAACAGTATACGAACCTGTACAGTATTAATCTTGGGTAAAATTGTCAAGTTTTTAGCAGCCACCAGTTTGCACAAATCTACATTCAAATATAAATTATTATATTCAGAAATGAAGCAAACTTGCTTTTTTGCCTTTAATTGCTAGGTTTTGCATTTGAATATAGTACTTGAAATTGTTTGCCATTATGGTATGTTGGGATAGTGGCAGAACATAACCAAGAAGTTCTTTTTATTTCTGATGCCAGGCCTACTTGAAGGGCTGCCAGGTTTAAGACCTCACTAATAATAGTTTAAAAGTTGTTTGGGTTTTTTTGCCCCTTTCTGATATCTGCTTTCCAGCACAAGTACAATGCAGAATACACAGGTCTTCCACTCACATGGGGTATTTCCTTTGGAAGGCATAAAAAGCATTCTTCTGTGTATACCATGGCTCTTAAATGTGGGAGCAGAAACAAATCCAAAAGGGGCAGAGTTTGATCAAAGTGAATATTGAAAAATCTGCATATTTAGTTAAATCAGCATGGGCAGTTTTTCCCAAAGGAAGCTGTGGAACATTGTTCAGCCATTGTGGCTAGTGCCATTGCCTCGATCATAATAATATAATTATCATATATTCTCACGTGCAGCCTGTTTACAAAGCTGTTCAAGAGAGTTTCCAGACATATATCCAAACCTACTCCAGGTTTTGTTTTGCTTATCCATATTTTATAAGGTAAAACTTTTCCCTCTCTCACTAGCTCATCTAAGAGCTTTAGAATACATACACAAATTCTTTCACATTTATGTCCAACCACAGACATCCACTGGCAAGCAATTCATACTACCATTCATCTCCATGCCCTCCCCATACATTCCTTTAGGTAAACACACTGGGCCAAATTCATTCCTAGAGTAATTCCATTGACTGGAATGGTTTAAATACAACAGGGATGAGTTTGGATTACCTCATCTGATACCTAACTACTTCCTAAATTCAAGATTCCTCTAAATTCTCAAGGTGTATTTATAGTCAGATTAATTGAAAGCACATTCTCCATTGTTGTAGTTTGCTTACAGCACTGCCTATTTCTGGGCATAGCCCCAGGTCTATGCTAGCTTGGACATTTTGGTTCAAATAAAGAAATAAATATTTCAGCATGTTAAATTGTTACTGAATCTTCCTGCATGTTGTGAAAAGAATTAGGTGACCAGTTACTCAATATGAACAACATGACTAGTCAAAGAAAGAGTGGAAGTGAATAACTCATGAATAACCCATAGGATGGAATGTTTCCTTTGAGTGTTTGAACAATAATAAGTTACCAATACATGTGTAATAATCAAAGTCTGCTTACTGGTAGTTTGCAAACATATAAAGGGGCAAGTTTGTTGGGAAAATAGTTAGTCTATCTCTAGTCATATGACATTAACTCCATAAACAAGCCCATCACAATGGAAATGTGTATCAGGAAGATAAATAATCTTCAACATCAGATTATTTATGTTAAAATCATTTTCAAACAACATCAGATTATTTATGTTAAAATCATTTTCAAACATCATCTGTTTCTGTAGCACTATTTAAAACCCAAAGAATGTCTAACCTGAAATTGCCCAGCCTACATCCTGAAAATCTGCAGACAACCCAAATTTTATTGTTAGGCCCTTAACGTGTTGCAAATGCTTCTAGAAGAAAGACTGGCAAAACATTTCAAATTCCTGATCTTCAGTTGCTGATCTTCATTGACTGAGGGGGGGAGCATTGAGATGGCGATTTGGAAAGCTCTCCTCTTCTTTCCCCCTCCTCCAATCCCAAAGTGATTTAATAAACAGCGGTGAAGGAGGGTGGGCACTTGTGTCTAAGATTAACCCTATATTGACCATGAGGCTGTGCATTTTTTTTTTCACTGTCACTTCCCAGAGGACTTCTTGAGCTGGGAACCCTATCACTCATTTGCATCATCACAACCATCTCCCTGAGGCAGCCACTATTACCCACATCCTACTTTTCTTTTTTTTATAAATTGTTGTTTAGTGCAGCATACATTTACATGCTTATTCCCTTTTATTTCTAAAGTGCAGGAACACTGTTTGCTGTATTTCAGATGCCAGTGCGGATAGATGCCATCACTGGAAGGATATGCATTAGAACTGTAGACACAGTGAGTCACCGACACATCATATACTGTATAAATTTCTGTTCTGTCAAGAGTTTAGCAGGTTGCCAAAATATATTCAGTTGCCAGCTCCTTGCCAGAATTCTGTTCCTAGCCTGATGCCAATCAGTCTTTTTGGATGTTCATGTATAAGATTAGGTTGGCTTGATACATTCCTCCTCCCAAGGGATTCTCCTTTATCAAGGGATTACCTGCATGTCATTCTTTGCATACATCCCACGTTTTATTCTTTGATAGAAGCAACCAGATCACACTACATCATTGCTGCTAAACACCTTATTAATGAAGTACCTGTGAACTCTTCCCATCCTCTCAAAAAACCCAAAGCTACAAATACAGGCAATATATTGTCCTGAACAGTTTTATTTCCTTTTCTGTTTTTTATTTTACTTTCTAGGGAAATGGAGGCCAGTTACATTTAATACAATTTTCATTTCTGAAAGAAACTGCTCAGACAAATACTTCCTTAAAAAACAAAAGCTCTTATTTTATTCATAGTGGTTTATCTACAATAGATAGAGTGGGGGACGCAAGCCACTTCCCAACACAAAAATGTCATACTATGCCTCATAGTATTTTTATTGCAAGAGCTTATCAATATATACGAAATGTTGTGTACATAAAAAAGATGATTTGCAGGATGAGGAATTTAAAATAACAAGGTGCATTAGTTTCAAAGGGAAAAGGAGTTTGAGGCAAATGGGTCATTTCCTCCGTTTATCAAGCCATTTCCCTTTGTCTCTTTCCACATCGCCTTTCTACAGCTACCTGGAAGTGTCTGGTTGGGATCTGCAGAATCTAGTTTAAAAAAAGAAAATACCCCAGTATTCCTATTCAGGACAGCACTTAAGCATGTGCCTTTCCTTAATAGGGAAACCTGCATAGGGGACGGGCCTGAGCACATGTTTATGTGCTTTCCTAAATCAGGGCCTGTGTTACTACCTCATTCTCCTACTACTATGAGAATGCCACCCTCGTAGCATTAGGAACTACCTTGGCATCTGACTCGCACAACTTGTAGTTTTGATAGATGTACAATGGTTTAGGTCTATCAAAGGCTATTAGATACATCAGTGGTTATTAGCCAAGATGATCAGGGATGCAATCCCATGCTTTGGGTGCCCCTACACCTCCAACTGCCAGAAGCTGGAACAGAACGACAGGGGATGGATCACTCGAAATTGTCCTGTTCTGTTCACTGCCTCTAAATCATCTGGCACTGGCCACTGTCAGAATACAGGATACCGGGCTAGATGGACCATTGGTCTGACCTAGTATGGCCATTCTTATATAACATTAAAATGGAACGCTTTACCTTACTGTAATATTGACCTCATTGTGCCAAGCTGGAATGTTTTTCTGTTCCTAGAATGCATTGAGCTGACACTGTATTGCAATCTAGGAATATACTGTGCTTTTGCCATCACTGTCTCTCTCCTCTGCTGCTCACCCCTGCTGTGTTTTTGCTGGGACTTTTCTAAATGTTGTTGTCTCAGCAACAACATAAATCTCATCACATTGCTGTTGTGTGTGAGATCTCCATTAATTAATAACATAGCTCTCAATTTCCAAGGTAGAATTTGCATTAAAAATGTACATGATGCAAAGAGATTTTTTAAAAATGTTTTTGCTCTACTGTACGTGTGCTCCATATATCGTGGCATTCTCACCGGCTTTAAATCTGCCTCAGTCTGAGGACACAATTAAGCTGTTTTCCTAAATAAGAAGCACAATTTATATCTTGTTGTTTTTGTTTGTGTGGGGTGGCAGATGGGGGGGTGAAGGAGGAAATGAAAAGGAAGTGAAAACTGCATTACAAGTAAATCAGGCTCATTATTACTGTTTAACATTGATCTTGTGGTAGTAACTAAAGGCCCCAATTAGGATCAGGGCCTTGTTGTGCTGGGCTCTGAGCAGTGCAAAGGTAGATGTGGTTCCTCCCCTTGCAATCACATTTAAGACAAGACACAAAGAAATAAGCATAACAAACAATAGGAATGGAGGAGAGTAACAATACCAAGATCACCTGGTTAGACAGGCTAGCAATGTGCACAACTTGATGGTTCTTGAATTATTTGGGGGATGAGGCTATTCCAGAGCTCAAAATGGAGGTGAAGTTGTAGCATGTTTGGAGTCCTGGGGCTAAGTTACCTTGCTGCTTGTAATTACTTCCTATAGCCTGTGTGGTTAGGAGATGGGAAGGAGCTGCCTGGGGCCTTGTATGTGGGGGAGAATTGCAAATCCTGGTCTGAGGTAACCAGTATGGAAACACTGGTGGGCCCATTCTTTCAGCTCCCACCAGCAAAAGTCCTCTCACCAGGCCTACCTCATAGCACATATGCCTGGGGCGACAAATCTGAAGGGGCGGCACTCCGTCTGGTCTTGGGGCAGCACTCCGACCCCCCACCCCTTCTTCGGCGGCACTTCGGCGGCAGCTTTTTCTGTTTTCTTCAGCAGCAGTTAGGCGGCAGCTTTTTCTGTTTTCTTCAGCGGCAGTTAGGCGGCAGCTTTTTCATTTTTTCTTCTTCGGTGGCGCTGCTGCTGCTTTTTTTTTTTTCCTTTGCCTCGCCGCTTGGGGCGGCAAAAAAGGTAGAGCCAGCCCTGGCTGAGAAGTAAGAATTAGCTAAAGGAGATGGATTTAGAGATCAGCACAATTCACGAAGATTAAAAAGAAGAAAAAACCCTCTTTGTCTGAATTAATTATTTTCAGGCTGCTTTTTATAGACTAGTTTTTCAGAAGTCATCTGTGAAGGTAGGCATAAAGAATTTTTAAAGGTAACTAAATGGGATGGAGGCAAGGTTTAAAATCATCTACGGGGCTGTTGCAGGGGATATTAAATATTGATTTATCTTGGGGTAAGAATCATACTAAGGGCTTGTAGTAAGATCAGTTCATCTGGAATACAAACTGTATAGCTGTATTTAGTACAATGGCAACATGACTGGAAGTGCAGGGGTGAGCATTTAATCTAAATCAGTTGGCTCTCCAAAGGTTCAAATGACAAAAACTAGCATTTCAAACTGAACTTTTCCTAAATGTTTCATGCTGTTTACATTAAACATTGTCTCATTCAGTCAGTTCATGCTGTATCATAACCCACACCTCTGTGTCATGTTGCAAATAACAAAAATCCACATTTCAAGACTGTTCCAAATTTTAAGTTTTAATACCCCAAACCCTCCTGCAAACCTGATGCAAATCATTCAAGTAATCTGGCATGTAACACTGTAAGCAATTTTCTGCTACTTGCCACTGCCTTTGGCCAAGCTTTTAGTCATAAATTTGGCACAGATTGGACTTAACCAATGAAAACTGATTATGTTCCCATTTCAGACATAAATAGTTGCCAGCTAGTGGTATTGGCTAATAGATTTTTCAGTCTGTATAAATGTGCATATGACCATAGCAGGAGATCCCTTTGTCCAAGAGTGACATCAAAACAGTACTTTTCAGATAATTTTAATGTTATATTTGCTTTTGTTTGTGTTGTTTTCTTTAAACATATTCATTTGATGGTTGCAGAGGCTTGAATGTTCCATGACTGAAAAAAACAGTAAATATATTTATATGAGAGGCAGTGTGGTGTAGTTGATGGAGTACTGGACAAGGACTCAGGAGACCTAGGTTGAATTCTCAGCTCTGCCACTGGGCTGCAGAATGACCTGAGGCTAGTACCTTCTTGAGTCTGTGCCTCAGTTATCCATTTGTAAAATGGGGTTAATGATACTGACCTACTTTGTAAAGCACTTTGAGGACTACTGATGAAGAACTAGGTATTATCATTATACTCAAAAGCAAAAAAGAAATATCCCTTATTACAGGGGTTCTCAAACTGGGGGTCGGGATCCCTCGGGGTTGTGAGGTTATTGGGGAGTCGCGAGCTGTCAACCTCCACTGCAACCCCGCTTTGTCTTTAGCATTTGTAATGGTGTTAAATATATAAAAAAGTGTTTTTAATTTATAAGGGGGGTCGCACTCAAAGGCTTGCGATTTGAAAGGGGACACCAGTAAAAAAGTTTGAGAACCACTGCCTTATTACAACCACAGGACAGTCATTCCCTCTGCTACGAAACATGGGAAGAATGGAACTAGCACAAATTCCAGCTAAATATGGCTGGTAAGCGTAGAAGGGAGTAGAGAAGGCATCATCCCCTGAGACAACAGAGTCCCTTCTCCATGCATATTCTGACCCCAACCCCCGACAGAGTAGCAAATGTCTTCCCCAAGGATGAGGCATTTTATCTCCGTGCAGTGAATCACATAGAATTTCCATGTATATTTTTTGCCTGTGTGTGTGTGTCATCATTTTGAAATCAAAAGTACAGATATGTGCATAGGATGTAATACAGCCCTGTGCTGAAGGCCAGCACTCAAATCGCACCTAAGCCCTCATTATTGGTCTTAAGTGGGACTTAAGGTGGATAGCCCTTGTACTGGTCCCCTGTCATGAGGGTGAATGTTGTCTCTACAGAGCATAATTTCATACAGCATTTCATAATGTAAATATTTCTTTTTAAAATAATTATGTAATGAACAACTGAATTCAGATTAAGGATTTAGTTGCTGTTCAATTTATTTAGGGGCCAGATCCAAAGCCCATTGAAGTCAATAGAAAGACTCCCATTGCTGTAGTTAGTTTTGGATCAGGCTGTGCATGTCTTTAAGTTTGTGTGAGTCTTTTCTCCTTTCAGACTGTTTAGGTATAAGTCGTGTTAGTGTTTTAAGCGGAGAGCAGTACTTTTTATATTATACAACCCTTGCATGTTGTGATGAAATTGGACTTCAGAATATAGGTGTGTAGACAAACGTGTAAGGGGACGCAGGACCTATGAGAGTATGATCCAGAAAAATGGAAACTAAGTCAGATGTTTGAAAGGAAAGCATCTTCTTTGTCCTTTTTTGGGGAATGATTGTTTGCCTATTTTTTTGGCTTGATAAATTTATACTAATCATTAATGTGCTTTTAGCAATTTTCTCCTCAGGT